TTTCCATCACGTCTGAAATGTGTGAGAGCAGTGGTGTTATTAAGATTTGTTTCAGGAATCTCAGGAACATCAATGACAAACATTGCCTGTTATTTCTCTGTTTTTTCTTCCTGATTTTTGCAGTCCTCACAGATTTGAAGTGATGGCTCATCATTGTTTTCATTTGCAACTGCCTGATGGTAGGTGATATTGAGCACTCTTTCGTATACCTATTGGTCATTTGTATATATTTGTTGGCAAAATATTTTGTCAGTCTTCTATTTTTCAGTTGGGTTATCATCATTATTATTTACCTTTGCTTTGAATTTCTTATATATTTTGAATATTAAACTCTTATTGTATATATGGTTTGCTATTGTGAATATGATGCAATAAACATGCAAATGTATCTATCATTTTAATATAATAAATTCTTTTTGTGGGTAGATCCCCAGTGATGAGACTTCTGAATCAAATGGTAATTCTATTCTTAGTTGTTTGAAAAATTTCCATATTGTTTTGTACAGAGGTTGCGTTAATTTATATGTTTCTGCTGACGGTGTATAGAGTGTTCCCGTTTCTCCACATCTTTGCCAACGTTTATTATGTTTTTTTCTTTTTAATAGTAGCCTTTATGGCTAATGTAATATCTCATCATGGTATTACTTTCTGCTTCTCTGCTAATTAGTGATATTGAGCATTTTAAAAATACACACGCTGGCTATTTGTATGTCTTTTTTGAAAAAGACCTAGTTATTTGCCCATTTTCAATGGGATTCTTTGTTTTTATTACAATGATGACTTGATTTGAATTATTTGTAAATTCTCAATATTAGTTCCATGTTGGCACATAGTTTGCAAATATATTCTTTTATTCTGTAGGTTTCCTATTTACCCTGTTGATTTTTTTTTTTTTTTGCTGTGTCAAAATTTTTTAGTTTGAGTCCCATTTGTCTATTTTCCTTTACTTTTGTTTATTGCATGTTTGAGGTTTTAGTCATGAATACTTTGCATAAACCAATGCCCAGAAGAGTTTTTCTTACATCTTCTTTTAGTACTTTTATAGCTTCAAGTCTTACTTTAATTCTTTAATTCATCTTGAGTTGATTTTTGTATATGGTGAGTGATAGGGATCTGTTTCTATTCTTCTGTATATGGTAATCCAATTTTCTCAGCACTATTATTGAACAGGGTATTCTTCTTCTGGTGTATGTTCTGATTAGTTTAGTCAAATATCAAAGAAGATATATGACTTTCTGGGGTTTTTTTTTTTTTTTTTTTTTTTTTTTTTACAGAGTCTCACTCTGTCACTAGGCTGGAGTGCAGTGGCGCCATCTCGGCTCACTGCATCCTCTGCCTCCTGGGTTCAAGCGATTCCTCTGCCTCAGCCCCCCAAGTAGCTGGGACTACAGGAGCACGCCACCACACCCAGCTAATTTTTGTATTTTTAGTAGAGACGGGGTTTCACCATGTTGGCCAGAATGGTTTCGATTTCTTGACCTTGTGATCTGCCTGCCTCGGCCTCCCAAAGTGCTGGGATTACATATTTCTGGGTTTTCTATTCTGTTTCCTTAATCTACATATCTGTTTTTATACCAGTACCATGCTGCTTTGGTTACTATTGTGTTGCAGTATAATTTGAAGTCAGGTAAGTGATGCCTCCAACTTTGTTCTTTTTGCTTAAGATTGCTTTGGCTCTTTGGGCCCCTTTCTTATGAATCTTATAATAGTTTTTATGTAATTCTGTAAAAAATAATGCAGGTATTTTGATAGAGATTGCAGTAAATCTGTAGATTGCTTTGGGCAGTATGGTTATTTTTACCAATATTAATTCTTTCAATCTATGAGCATGAGCCATTTTTCTTTTTGTGGCATTTACATTTTGTCTAATCAATGTTTTGTAGTTTACCTGTAGGGCTCTCTCACTTACTTGATTAAATATGTTCCTATGTATTTTATTGCTTTTTGGAGCTATTGTAAATGAGATTGCCTTCTTGATTTGGTTCTTAGTTGGATCGTTGTTTGTGTATAAAAACACTACTAATTTTCATATGGTGATTTTGTATCTTGACACTTTACTCAATTCATTTATCATATTTAAACGATTTTGGTAGAGTTTTTAGGTCTTTCTAAATATAACACCACATCATCAGTGAACAGGAATAATTTAATTTTATTTTTCTAGTTTAGGTGCCTTTTCTTCCTTTCTTTTGTCTGATTGCTTTGGCTAAGACTTCCAATACTATATTAAATAGGAGTTGTAAAAATGGCATCCTTTTCTTGTTTCGGTTCTTAAAAAGAATTTTTCTCATTCATTATAATGTTACTTCTATGTTTATTTTATTGAGGATTTTCATCATGAAGAAATGGTGAGTTTTATTAAATTCTATTTCTGCATTTATTGAGATAACCATAGGTTTCTGTCCTTAATTTTGTTCATGTAACTTATTATGTATACTACTTTGTGTACTTTGAACCATTATTGCATCCTTGGTATAGAACCCACTAGATCATGATATATTCTCTTTTTTTATTTTATGTTGGATTCAGTTTAGTAGTATTTTGTTGAAAATTCTTGCATTTATGTTCCCAAGGATATTGGCTTATCGTTTGTTGTTGTTGTTGTTGTTGTTGTGTGTCCTTGGCTAGTTTCGGTATCAGGGTGATAATGACCTCAGAATTACCTAGAAAGAATTTCATTATCCTCAGTTTTGGGGAAGAGTTTCAGGAGGATTATTATTAATTCTTTGTACATTTGGTAGAATTTGTGCATTCATCCGGTCCTGAGATTTTCTTTTTCAAGACTTTTTAAAATTACTGGCTCAATCATGCTACTTATTATTGGTCTTTTCAGGCACTCTGTTTCTTCCTGGTTCTATCTTGAGAGGTCGTATGTTTCCAGGAATTCATTTTTTTTCTAGGTTTTCAGGTTTGTGAGTGTCTAGCTGTTTTTGAATGTTTTTAGCGATCTTTTTTATTACTGTTGTACCCATTGTAATGTCTATTCGTTTACTTCTGATTTTGTTTATTTAGATCTCTCTTATTTTTGCAGTTAGTCTAGCTAGAAATTTATCAATTTTGTCTTTTTGAAGAACTAACTCTTTATTCTTTTGATCATTGGTAGTTTTTGGTCTTTATTTCATTTGATTATGTTCTTATTTTTGTCATTTGTTTTCTTCTTCTAACTTGGAATTTGGTTTGTCATTAATTTTCTAGTTTCTTTAAGTGTGATGTTGGGTCCTTAATATGTAAGCGTTCTACTTTTTTGATGGAGGCATTTAGTGCTATAAACTGTTGTCTTAGTACTGTTTTTGTGGTGTCTCACAGGTTTTATTATACTGTGTCTCTATTTCCAATTTGTTCCCACAAATTTTTACTTTTCATCTTAATTTTTTACTTGAGATGGGGTCTCACTCTGTCACCCAGGCTCGAGTGCAATGGCACGATCTTGGCTCACTGCAACCTCCACCTCCTAGGCTCAAGCGATCCTCCCACCTCAGCCTCCTGAGTAGCTGGGACCACAGGTGCACACCACCACACCCAGTTTGTTTGTTTGTTTGCTTGTTTGTTTGTTTTGTATTTTTGGTAGACACAGGGTTTTGCCATGTTTCCCAGGCTAGCGTCAAACTCCTGACTTCAGGTGATCCACCTGCCTCAGCCTCTCAAAGTGCTGAGGTTGCAGGTGTGAGCCACCACCCCAGCTGACCATCTTTTTTTTTTAAACTTAGTTGCAGAGATCTACAATTTATTATTATTTTCAGTGTTAGAGCTAGAGGATAATTTTTTCAAAGATGGCACTCAACTCCACTTATTTACCTGTCAACAAATACAGAACTGAACTAAACTGTTAGCCATAAGCACTTTACAAACAGACTCAGGAAACTATGCAGTAGACAATAACATAGCTTAACCAGACTCTGAAAAACAGATACATATTTTGGTTCACACTTGTACAAAGAGAACAGTCATGTCTGCATGACTTAAGGTTCTCTAAACACAACTGTTTTATGTTTTAGACCCCTAGAGTGTGCCAGTTTACCACATCAGGGAGGAATCAAGGAATGTGCTTCTTCTGAAGAACCAAGGGCAAGTGGGGTAGGGGTGGCTACAGGGAATGCTCTGGGCAGAAGAGCTGCCTCAGGTTTTTGTGGGAATGAAAATTACCTGTTGCAAGTAAGCAATGCCTAGGGTTTATCTAGTTTGAGGTTCAAAACAAAGGAGAGAATTATTTCCTTCCTCGAGCTCTTCCCAAAGCAATATGCCCATCTCATAATCAAATCTCAACTAGTACAAAGAGATAACCAATTATCTAAAAATTTAATTTACATACATGTTGGCCTGGATTAAAAACAAAAAAGTTAGTTTCCATAAATAGCAGACTTTAGTGCTGTATGACCCAATGACTAAAATAAAACCAGAAAGTCTTTACTGAAAGCTCAAGGATAAAAATGAACACTGGCTGGCTATTGAACTCCACATCTGACAATAATTACTGACAGTTTAAAAATGTATATCCAAAATATAACCTCAAAAGGACCAGGTTTTTTTGTCCGACAGAGCAGCTCAAAATGTTGAGGCATTATTTGTTTGGATTATGATGGGTTATTCTCAAAGTTTATTTATCTAGAAGGGGAAAGTGATTATAGAAAAATACTTGAAATAATTTGCCAATGAAGTCACAGATTCTAGCAATAATCCACATCTTAGATTTTTAAGTGTGTAGTTTCATAGTTTAAACAAATTCTGTCAGAGCTATTCAATATACTTTATCACCATAACTTTCCATGAAAACCAAATAAAAATCACATCTGAATGATTTACTTCTATGCTTTTATATGATTGTATACATATGATGTACTACACATCCAAGTACAAGAGGCAGCTATCCTCTCTGAGAGGTGCAAGAGTTGTTCTTTCATGAATGCCCTGTAACAGTGAAACTGGCAATTTTTATATATGCATTCATGTGCATATACGTGTACTTCAAAAAGCAAAGCGTCATCTGTTCGTCCATTGTTAACTTAATGGTAAGAGTGGGGACCACCAGGCATCGGTGGAGCACCAGAAGGTCCTGAAGGCACTTGGAAAGGATCACTGGGAGTAGGATAGAGTCCCGGTGTGGGATACAGTCCTGTAGGGGCAGGATATGGTGTGGTGGTCCTCAGGCTCCTGGTGGATCGGTGCCCCGTGGAACAGGTGGTGCTGGCCCAGAGGCTTGGGGACGAGGAGGAGCGGGATATGGCCCTGGAGATGGATATGGCATATTAGGGGTAGGATACTGCCCTCCCATTCCTGGCTCCCAAGGTCCAGAAGACATGGATCCCCATGGACCTAAAGGACCAGCTACAGCTGGATCTGTGGGTGCACCATATGGTCTGGGTAGCTCTGGAAAGGGCATATTTGGTGTAGGATATGGCCCTGTGGAGCTAGGGCCTGACACTGTTGGGGCTGGATAAGGACCACCGGGTGGGGGGCATGATGGTTCCGAAGGAAGAAAGAGTGCTGGGTGTCCTGGAGGTGGTCCGGTGGGAGGCACGGAAGGATACATTCCTGTTGGTGCTGGTCCAAAAGGCACAGTAGAGGGTGTTGCACTTGGTGGGAGTCCAGATGGCACCGAAGGTGGAGCACTCGGATTATTCCAAGGGCTGGAGCCTGGCCAGCCTTGAGGAGGTTGGCCAGGTTTTGTATTGCTCACAGCAGAGGTTTTGGCAGGGGAGTGTGCAGGTAGTGCATCTGCCAACGAAAATTCACCAGACATTTTCCCGGCAATATCCGAGACCGCAGTAGGGTCTAGAAGCGGCGATGGATCTGAGGGACTGGGCCCTGAAGAAGCGGTCGCAGGCTGACTGACAGCAGGGAAAGCAGCCGACCATCTTAATTTCTTAATTGACATGGTGACTGTTTAAGAACATGTTGTTTAATTTCTTTGTAATTTTAGTTTCTGAAATTCTTCTTCACATTGATTTGTAGTTTCATTCTACTGTGGTTTTAAAAGGTAGTTGATGTAATTTTGATTTTGGGGGGTACTTTGTTGAGACTTGTTTTATTGCCTACCACATGGTCTGTGTTGCAGAATGTTCTATGTTTTGATGACAGGAGTGTATATTCTATGGGTGAGTGGGAAGCATGTTCTGTAAATGTCTTTTAGGTCCATTGGGTCTAAAGTCCAATTTAAGTCCAATAATTATTTCTCAGCTTTTCTATTTCAATGATCTCTCAACGCTGTGAGTAGAATTTCTAATTTCTCCACTATTATTGTATTGCTGTCTATCTCTTTCTACAGGTTTAGTAATTTTTTAAAAAATCTGGGTGTTTTGATGTTGGGCGCATATATATTTAGGATTATTATATCCTCTTGCTGAATTGATTCTTTATTATTGGATGATTACCTTCTTTATCCTTTTTGTTACTGTTTTTTATTTAAAATCTGTTTTATTTGATGTAAATATGGATACTCCTGTTTGCTTTTGGTTTCTGTTTGTGTTAATATATTCCTCCCTTTACTTTTAGTCTATATGTGTCTTATAAGTAAGGTGAGATTCTTGTAGGCAACATAGTATTGAATCAACTTTTCTTATCCATTTGCTAAATCTATACCACATAATGGGGAATTTAATTGATTTGTATTCAAGGTTAATATTGACATGTAAGGTTTTGTTTCTGTCATAATGTTGTTTTCTATTTTTTAATCTATTTAAATTTGTGGTTTGATAAAATTCTGTCGTGTTGTGATTTGATGTTTTTTCTTTTTCTCTTTTGTTTTTTAAGATGTATTTTATACTTTTACATGTTTTAATGACGGTGAATATCAATCTTTTGTTTTTATATTAGAAATCCTTTGAACTTCTCTCATAGGCCCAGCCTAGTGGTAATTAGTTTCTCCAGCATTTATTTGTCAGGGCAAGACTTTATGTCTTCTTCATTTTTGAAGGTTAATCTAGCTTAATGTAAAATTTTTGGCTGGCAGTTTCTTTTCCTTTCAACATTAAAAGTGCCATCCCATTCTCTTCTGGCCAGTAAAGTTTCTGTTGAGAAGTCTGCTGTTAGTCTGATGTGGTTTCCTTTATAAATGACTAGATGCTATTCTTTTACTGATTTTAGAATTATTTCTTGCACTTTAGATATTCTGATTATCATATGCCATGATGAACCCCTTTTGCAATGTATTTTGCTGTGATTGCTGGGCTTCCTGTATATGGATGTCTAACTCTGTTGCTAGGTTTGAGAAGTTTTCTTAAACTTTATTTTCAATTATTTTCTTAAATAGGTTTTCTAAAATGTTGATGTTTTTTACCCCTCAAAAACACTGATAATTTGTAAGTTTAGTCACTATATTTAGTCCCAAACATCTCAAAGTCTTTGTTCATGCTCTTTTATTCTTTTTTCCTTATTTTTGTCTGAGTAGATTATTTTGAAAGACCTGTTTTCAAGTTCTGAAAATTCGTTTTATTCCTGTTCTCGTCTATTATTGAATCTTTAAATGTATTTTCTTTTTCCTTCAATAAACCTCCATAATTTTTATTTGGATTTCTTTTAAAAGATATCTGCCTCCTTGATACATTTCTCATTCATTCTCTGAATTTATTTATTTATTTTTGTATTGGCTTTCAGATTTCTCTTGCATCTCTTTGAGCTTCTTTAAAATCTATTTTTTGAAAGTCTTTTAAAGTCTGATATTTCAATGAATTTTTTTGCTAGAATACTGGAAAATTATTGTGTTCTTTTGAACGTGTCATAAACCTTGCTTTTCCATGCTTCCTGTGTTTTTATATTGATTTCTGCACATCTGGAGCAACAGTTTCTTCTTTTTATTTTGAATTTACATTCATTGGAGGAAGCTTACTTTTTGAAGTTATTAGCATGATGTTTATTGCATAGGGCCATTTGACTTTACTTTTGGGTTTGTGCAGTGGGAAAGACTCTGTATACATTTCTTGAGTATAAACAAATATATATACACACACACGTGTGTGTGCGTGTGTGTGTGTACAGCAAATACAATGTTTTATTGGCATAGGAGTCATCTTTTATCTTAGGTTGATTTTTAAAACTGAGTCTCAGAAAACAATTAATGTATCTTTGTTGTTTTGGTCATTGAGGTACAGCACAGTATGACACCTGACTTAATAGGGTGAGGGGTTAGGATGGGGGTGGAAGATGAGAAATTACTTGATGGTTGTAATGTACATTATTTGAGTGATGCATGCCCTACAAGCCCTGACCTCACCACAATGGAATATATGCATGTAATTGAATTACACTTGTACCCCATACGTTTGTATAAATAACTTAAAAAGAACCACAAGAGTTTGCTATCTTGCTTGTTCATAAATACAAATACATTATGAATGCTTCCCATGACATTAACTATTATTGATGCAGGAGTTAAAGATAAATTTTAATTTTAATAAAAGCAGACCCCAAATTACTTCTTTTCTAATATAGAGCAGTGTGTAAAATTGAGCTGCAGACATAGATAAGCAAGATGGAAGCTTGCACAAATAAATGTTGGCAGCTGTGCCAATAGGAAAAGGTGCTACCTGGGGACTAGGCATGTTCAGAATGGTGGCTCTATCTTCCATTTCCTTTGTAAACCATGTGTACAGTAAGAAGCAGGCAACATGGTGGCAGGCAACAGGGCACCACCCAGGCAAAGACTCCATTTACATAATAGAAGATTAGGTGGGGGCAGCCAGCTTCCTCATGCACTGTATAAACATCACACCTGGCCCAACCAATCTTTGGGCCCTATGTAAATCAGCCACTGCCTCCTCAAGCCAGTCTATAAAATCTGGTGCACTTTGCTCCAGGCCGGAAGTCCACTCGGGCAACCCTCTCCCTCACAGGAGAGAAAGCTATTTTCCTTTCTCTTTCTTTTGCCTATTAAACCTCTACTTCTAAACCCACTTCTTGTGTGTCCACATACTCAATTTCCTTGGCATGAGATGACAAAACTCAAGTATTTACCCCAGACAGATGACACTGCTTCATTATTTTATAAGTGATAAATTTATTAGTTAAACTTGCTGTATTAAGAAATATAGCACATTTTAAGGCTGCTGATGCACAGTGCAATAACTGCCATATACAAATATGACACCACTTACACTTAGAGCCCAGGCACAGAGACTCACACCAGTAATCCCAGCACTTTAGGCTCCCAGGGCAGGTGGATCACTTGAAGTCAGGAGTTTGAGATCAGCCTGACCAAAATGGTGAAACCCCATCTCTACTAAAAATACAAATTTTTTTTTTTAGTAGAAAAAAACCTTTTTTCTATTAGTGGGGATGGTGGTGCATTCTTGTAACCCTACAAGGATGAGTCAAGAGAATCGCTTGAACCCAGGAGGCAGAGGATGCAGTGAGTTGAGATCACATCACTCCAGCCTGGGTGACAGAGTGAGACTCTGTCTCCAAAAAAAAAAAAAAAAAAAAGTATTACAAAACTCTTGTTTCCCTACACTTACCATTTATCAACAGTTTAATGATATATGTTATTTTTAAATACATTTTCCATTTTGGTATGTCAAAAAACTGGCATCTCATTATTTTAATATGCACTTTAGTAACTATTCAGGTAACTTGGTTTTATATATGTTTAGTGTATTACTTTTTGAATTGCCTAGTCATGTCTTCTGCTTATTTTGCTATTCAATTATGTAACATTTTAGTGATTCATATGAGCTCCCCATTATAGTAACCATTTGTCCAAAATTATTTATATATCTCCATTCAGATTCCAGTGTTCACTCTCAATGTTTTTGAGAAAAAAGGAGTTCCTTCCCTCTAAAGATTTCCACTCCCTAAAGAGCTTAAATAAGTACCAATTACTAAAACACAATTAGGGAAGTTTAAACATTATCTAATTGCACTTTATTTGTGGAAAATAAATATTCTCACCTTTCCATTATTATTTAATCATGTATAGAAAGGAGCCCATACATTCTGGGCTGAAAAATCTCTTTTAAAAAAGGGAAAATGTATTCTGTCAAAGAGGGTACAAAATTCCAAGTTCACACTGCACTTTGCTAGAAACATTGCCTTTAGGTTAGCCATGTTCTCTCTGAAACACAGAGCTGCTCACATCACAGCCTTGTTCCAAAACATTTGATGGCTCATAGCAGCCAACACAACAGATCCGCCATTCATTTTTCCAAGGTCAACACCTCTTACTATCACAACTCTACACAACACTTCCAATCTCTATTCGCTACTCACACTCCACTTCTTGTCCTACTCTGTCCTCAAATAAGCCTCATATTTTTATACTCCAATGCCTATACTTAAACTGTTTTTTCCCTAAATGTACATTTTCCCTTTCACACATCTTTCTCCTCCACATGGCAAACCCTGCACATTTGAGAGTATTACTTTCTTCTCCACTTGGATGTCCTCCATGTGTTCCTGCTGGTTGTGAGGCACTGGTGAGTTTTAGAACTGGAACCATATTTTATCCATCTTTGCAGTTCTAGAGCCTTGCACTGGGGTAATTGTTAATAAATGGTTCCCAATGCAAGCTTGCTGATGGTGATATTCAGCAGATGAGAAAATGAGCCAGAATGCCTGTCTACTAATCCAGATTGCTTTTCATGATTATTTTGCTAAAACTCCCCCATTGTCATTAGCAAAATAACAATGATAATAATGGTACTAGTACTAAATACACAAGATAAGTCAGTTATAATTGAGCTGGTAGCATGCGCGACTTAAATTTTCTATTTCTTGCTGGTTTCAAGATAGTCCTTATCCACAGATAGG